TCTCTCTCTCTCTCTCTCTCTCTCTCTCTCTCTCTCTCTCTCTCTCTGTCTCTCTCTCTCTCCGCCATACAAATGAAGACACTGATTAACTTAAACACTTCAGTCTTTTCTTTTTTCCTTTTCCTTCTTTTTTCTCTAACCCCGTTGTTCCTCCTTGGAACAAATTGAATTAGAATGAGCTAAGAGCCACAATTGACTTTACTATCCGGGGGAGGGAGGGAGGGAGGGGTGGAGGCAGAAATAGAGTGAGAGAGGAAAAACAAAAAGAGCGGGCGAGGAGAGGGTGTGACCGAGTCAAAGAGGGGTGAGGAGTTCGAGCGACTCGGTGCACCGACACTCCCGCCGGGGATGTCACGGGCAGACGGCGGGAGTGTTTGGTGTTGGACTGCAGTGTGTGTTTACTCTGTGGCTTTCCTTTTATGAAAACCATGCACTAAATATAATGGCTTTGCAGGGTTGTAAACTTTTCCACTCATCTAACTGTTCCAACGTGGGCTGAGCGTGTATATGCTTGAGTGTATTTGTTTTTGTTTTTTTAAATAGATTTGAGCTGGACAGATGGTCATTAAGACCTATTTTTAACGCCCCAGTCTGGATCTGGATAATTCAGACCAATCGGACTCGAATAGTTTCCTGTGATCTTAACTTCTCTGGCACTCCGTTATCTGATGCAACACAAAAATATGAATTAAAAAGTTGATTTTGAATTAATCACATCTCTGACTTTCTTTTCTTTTTTGTGTCTCTTTTGTGCAGAGTGCTCACAGAACTGGTGTCAAAGATGAGGGACATGCAGATGGATAAGACGGAACTGGGGTGCCTTCGAGCTATAGTCCTTTTCAACCCAGGTAACCATCGCTGTATGTGAGCTCGCGTGTGCTGTGGCAGCTGAATGAAGCTGTAGATCAGGTGTTTTGAAGATGACCGGCTCTTCTTTGAGTTTAGAATAACAGCTTAATGGATGACCAAGCTACATGTATCTACAGCACTGTTGACATATTTCCAATGTGGGATTGTTCTCTCAGAGCGACACAGTGTTGCTGAGCAGCTTTGTTTGTTGAATACCAATCTTTTTTCTTTTTGTTTTTACAGCGCTATTGCTTCGAGCTATAACCAAGAAAAACAACATTCAACTGATATTTATATTCCTAAAATAGAATGACTCATTCAGGACTTGAAGCTAAGTAATACTCCACCTAAAATCTATTTATACTGGATAGATAGCTGAAAACAAATTCGGAATTCAGTTACAATCGATTCAAACGGCAACCACTTTTCACAGCGCAAAGAAATGTATTACAACATCCAGAGAACCATCTCAAACAGCCCCTGCAGTACAATCCAATCTCTCCACTGCCCATCAGTATTCTACAAACATTCATATTTTCACTCAGATGTGGATGAATGCATGTCTTGAGGTGGAGCTTGCAGGACAGAGCAGTAGTGTAGTCCATATGTTTTGAATGAACTGAGCACACAGAGGGAGACGGGGATTATGCTGCAGAAAAAAATCATTTAAGAAAATGAAACATGTCACCACTGGGATCCACTTGAGATGTGAGGTGATTTCTGGACTGAGGAAACCATCTATGTTTTATATGGACCTTTCAAGCCAAAGAGTTTTGATAGCGTTAGACTTTGGGCGGAGTATCACTCAAAGCGTTGGACTTGTGACTCAGCTTGACCTCGTTCATGTAACTGGAGAATTGGGAACTGGCTTTTCACTTGCCTGTGTTTTCTTTGAACTTGACTCTGGACTTCTCTTGTAAAACTGGTGTGCTTCCACCTCTGAGTAAAATAAAAGCTGAGACTGCATATTCTATTGATGTGAATGTACTGAAGGCATACACATGAACTATTTTGCTGAGTTGCGGTGATGTACTCAGCAGTCCGTGCACTAGTAGTTGCGTTAGCCAAACACACGGTCCGAAACAATAAAGGTGAGCTGGTACAGCAGTGTGTGTACTGGTAGTTCTGTTAGAGGTTAGCCGTCACACCGTTTAATACAATAAAAGCGTCCGAGAGGTACTCAACAGTGCGTGTACTAGTAGTTTCGTTAGCCGTTAGCGGTTAGCCAAACACACCGTTCAAAACATTAAAATTTGAGCCGCAGAGTAGTGTCCGGGAGTTACGCAACAGTGCGTGTGCTGGAATTTCCGTCAACTCTTAGCTCTTAGCTGAACACACCGCACACTGTTATCCCCGAACTGTTGCACTCTCCTGTCAAATCACTAGCGGCCCCTACCAGAGTGGTGAGTGAGGAGAAAAGCAGGCGGTCAGTAGCAGTATAAAACAGACAATAAAAGGTGTTTAGAGAAAGTGTGAGTCACAGCAGCTGCCAGAGGTCTATGAGCATACAGCCATTACTGGCCACCCAAAATATCATGCAGTTTGCTGCAGCAGAAGGCGAGATTAGCCGTGGACAGACACAGAGGTGAACTCTTGCTCACTCATCGACACACACAAACTCAGGCGACCGATCGCATGATTCTCCTGGCAGTATAATAATAATGTAACATCCTACTGTGAAAGAAAGCTTATGACAGCGCGTTATATTTAATTGAGGCCCATGTCTTGCCACGGCGCGTGTCCCGCCTGCTATCAGTGTGCTGCTCTGTATTTAAACCTCCTCCACATGGCAACCAAAGTAAGCCAAACCAAGCCATGAATGTGACCCAGGTTTTTTTTTAATGACTCAGTGTGGGAGCTTCCCTCCGTCCCTCTGGGGCCACTGTGGATCTGTTGAGCCCAGGCACACACTGATCCTCTGTGTTCCTCGTTTCGTTCAGGCCACATCCAGGCCCACCGGCCCTGATTCACATCTCGGCCTGATTCCCTGTTAATTAGGGGTTCACAGGACTGGTCTGACGGAGAAAGCAATTGGTGGGGGAGCTAAAAAAAAAGGCCCTCAGTCCTGCCTTTCCCACACTGTGTGATGGAGTCCAGCCGCTGACAACAAATGTTCATTCAGTGTTCATCAATTGTGCAACGCTTTGTTCCTCCGAAATGTTGCTCAATGACGCGTTTGTGTTGGGGTTTCCAGCGGAGCTTAATTTAGCGCCGTCCTAATTGGACTAACCCAGAATGTGGCGAGACACGTCCACAATGAGCCCTGCGGGGTTAAAACTCAACTTGTGAGTTCGTAAGGCCCTCCATTTGAAACTGCTGCAAGGGGCCTTTGAGCAAGGCTTTCACCGGAGTTCTCACGAGACGAAAGCGACCGCAAGAATGTGGAGAAGAGGCATGTATAACAGCAGGGTTGTTGTTGATTGTTTGTACATTATCTGTGTCTCCACAGACTCTAAAGGTCTGTCCAATCCAGGGGAGGTGGAAGCTCTGAGAGAGAAAGTGTACGCGTCTTTAGAGGCCTACTGCAAACAGAAGTACCCCGACCAGCCTGGCAGGTATGAACGTGTGCACATCCCCACACTCTTCCCCATTGGCTCTCTCTTCATACAGCACTGCTCCTCACTAGGGGCAGTATATGTAGCCTTAGAACATGGGAACAGTGTTCTATTACATATACTTACATAAGGCTCTATTACAGTAAAGTGATGTCATTTTCTGAGCTCACCAGACTGTTCAAGCTACCGTTTACAATTATAATTATTTGCAATAGATTAACATACTGATGATTGTTTATCAAAGATCTCATTAAATAGTTTGTGAAAGCAACAATAGTCAACCCGACAATATCGAGGTATTTGGTTCAGAGATATTTTGATATTTGATTGCCAGGCACTACTTTGGTTCAATACATTGAAATGATTAGAAAAAGAAAAGATTAAAAGAGTAAAAAAAACTCTTTCCCCAGCAGCCAATTAGCTGTTTGGATGCCAGAACAGGTCTGAGGGGAAGTTAAAGTTTAAAGAAAAGGGGGCTCATGCAGGACTATTTTTAATCTTATCCCAAGGCCCACTACGTTATATAGAAGGCCCCGTATGTGAAGTGTGGTATCAGTTCTTTCTGAGTCTGTCTTGCTCCTCCTGTCAGACGTACGATGGACTCCAGGTCTAACTTTGGTCTCGTGTCGTGACAGGTTTGCCAAACTGTTGCTGCGGTTACCAGCGCTGCGCTCCATCGGCCTCAAGTGTCTGGAGCACTTGTTCTTCTTCAAGCTCATCGGGGACACGCCCATCGACACCTTCCTCATGGAGATGCTAGAAGCCCCGCATCAAATGACATTATAGCAGAGAGGGTTGAGGCCCCCCCCCCCCCCCAACATCTACCACCAGATCTGGATCGGGGGCAGTGTCCCTCCAGCGAGGGACAGATCACGTGTCAGATGGAGAACCTCCCCCTTCCTCCCTACCCTCTCCCCTTTGGATGTGTTTTAAGACAATTAATTCATCATGTCTATGGGTCTGTTTTATACCTTGTAAAAAATATATAAATAAGAAATATATATATAGATATGAAAATCACGAGTGACAACAGTGGACTTCAACTAAGGTCGGACAGAAGACAAAAGAAGCGCATTGAGCCATCCTTTCCATCCTTTCCATTATTTCCATCCTTGCTGTTCCTACACGGTGACGAGAAAAAGCAAACGATCGGGTTTTAACACCCACAGTTGCAGGTATTTAAAAAAACAGAAAAAAAACAAAACACGGCGTTGATGTCACATTTGGACACTCAGCGTTGTGATCGGGGACAATCGTGGACTGGGAGAGCCTCAGGCCGCCTAGACTTGGAACTGAGCCCTCTCTCTCTCTCTTTTTCAGGACTGAACTCACTTTGGGGGAGGGACGGTGTGTGAGTGGGGGGATGGGGGGGGATCCCGCCCGACTCGACCGCACGCACGCGTCAGGTCTTGCACTAGCCGTTGTGAATTTGCTGGAGTCGAAACTCGGGGGGGTTAACGAGACTGCAAGTCCTTAAAAGAAAAAAAAGAATAACCTCAGGTGTCTGCCCGATTCCAACGGACACAGACCACGTCTTACTCCGTCAGCACTGTGCGACATCGGGGAGGACGACATTTCTCGTCAATCGGCCCTTCAGCTAACGCCAATCGACCGAGTCGGGAGAAGATGCAGGCCGACAGCAGCACATTAGCTTTACGACGCTGTGCGGCGCTCTGAAACTTGGCCTCGTCCCATGTCACAGCATTTTGGGCCTTTTGTTGCGACGCCGGCCAGAAAGTGAGCGTCAGTCTCATCTGTTGGGGGGGAGAAACATCCTCATATTCGCGTCACTTCACGTGACTTTCAGCACACCATCTCTACACCTCCACACTCAGAAAC